CTAATCATTTTGTTCAATACCAAAGTGTGAGTTATTATAACCATACTAGATGACCTAGGATGACATGAACACGACGTTCTTCAAGCGTCGCAAAAGCTACAACATTTGTCACCACAGGTCTGCCGACCTAGCTGTTGCAAGAAGCTCTGGTGCGGGATTGTCAGTCCCGTATAGATCTATACACAAGTGTCACGCTCCCACTCAAGGAGATTCTGGTTATAATTTCAGGACTTTTGTTGGTACTTGAAAAAGTACATGAAGGTAGTCTCACAAATGCTATATTGTTGATTACACATAGAACATTGAAAGCTTACTTTGTTAAAAATACACTGTAAGTAAGTTTCATAAACTGTATAGAATATAGTTTATAAGTTTGTTTTCAGTAAAGTAATCTGTTTGTTTTCTAATACTTATCCTCTGTTTGTTTTTTGTTATGTACTATGTTTGTTTTCGTGTTATGTACTTTGAAACTTGAAACCAATGAATGAGTTCTCTAAACTATACCTATTATAGTTTAGCTGTTTGTTTTACTGTAAAAATCTGTAATACTGTTATTCCATGAAATTCTCTGTTTGTACCTATGTAGTATCAAACAGTTTGAAAACCATCCGATATTTATATAAATGTAATATTTATATAATTGTGATTAATTAGATATTCGATTAAATAACTTTACCCCAAGCCCACAACCAAACAAGGAACAGGAAATGGGGTCAAATTACATATTTCAAATCTTCTGAATCCAAATTATATAATTTACACATATATAAATATGTAATTTAACACAATCATAACAATTTAAAATATACTAAAACATTTAAAAATCTTTTGAGATATTAACACAATTTTATTGTGTTTCACTTGTATCCCCCCCCTTAAAACAGTTAAAAATCATAAAAATGTAGGGGTATGAACTCACCTTTCGTGAGTGATTTGATTGAAGATTTGTTTTAGGATGGCAAGTTTCTCGAGTGAAATCCCGAAGCACAAACGAGTCCTATTTAGCATATTATGATATAAATATGTATACATTTAGTTTTCATAATCATAAAGGTGTATAGGAAACAACCTATGGTGTAAGAAACACTTACCAAAGAAGTGTTAGAATCGAAAATGGAATGCTGATATGTGTTCACGGCCCAAGAAGGGTTCACAGTTCAAGAAGGGTTCACGACCCAGATGGGTGTTCACGGCCCAATGTTCTTGATGAATGAAGAACACCTGAAGATCCTAAGCAAGTTTCTAAGAAGATTCAAAGGTTTTCAGTCGCGTGTTCTTCGTGAAAACTAGTGAAATTAACGGGTTTCAGTCTAGTATAAGAAGATTGAAGGATGTTTTTGAAATGATAATAATATCAAGAAATGATACCTGTTAGATCCTATGAAGAACTAGTGATTATCGCGTGAATATGATGAGAAAGGATGAGTTTAGCATGTTCTTGAGGAGAGAGGATGTTCTTGGCTGATGATACTTGAGAGAAAAGGGTTGGATTTTTGTTTGAAAGTGTAGAAATGAATTAAAAACAGCCGATATATATATATATATATATATATATATATATATATATATATATATATATATATATATATTATATATATATGGAAAGGGTTCACGGTCCGAAGTGGTTCACGGTCCGAAGTCGGCTAATAGTTCACGGCCCAAAGTTGATCACGGCTGCGAGGGTTCACGGTCGTGAACCTTTTGCGGCTCGAAGTGTGCGATCCGAAGGGAAGAAAGAAGAAAAGATGCGAAATTTCTTGTTTTAACTAATTCCCTCCTTGAACACACAATTCTTTTGAATCAAAGGTTTTTAAGCCAAATCTACTTGTTATAAGATAGATTAAAATGAGAAGTTTGACTAATATTGGCTTTTACTATAATGAAAATATCGGGATGTTACACAACTGGTACCCGTGCCTTGTGAACTGGAGCGGGAGTGCTTTGTTTAGGATTGTATTGATGCACCGATGGTAGTGGTGCCAATGATGGCACTGATGGAAGAGGTGATGCAGCTGCATGAGAATTATTAGCTAACATAAGATATAAGTCATAATTTCACATATGATCAATTATAATTGCCGATTATGTTTTAGGAAAAGAGACGACTTTAGATACATGAGGTGGTGTGGCTGAACAGTTTGTAGTTGCAAACGGGAAACATGATTCATCAAAAATAACATCTCGAGAGATGTATATGCGATCATTATATCTATCTAAACACTTGTAGTTTAGACCGAAAAACGAGTTTATGAGTATTTTGTTTTCGAAGACTTGGCCAACATGCATAACCAAAAACATGAAGAAATGAGTAATCTGGATTTATATTTAAGAGACGTGTTATGGGTGTAGTATTGCATGTGGTACGACTGGGCATACGGTTTATAAGATAACACGTGGTTAGAAAAGCCTCGTCCCAAAAACGAGGAGGAAGGGATGATTGTGCAAGAAGGGCTAAATCCGTTTCAACTACATGACGATGTTTGCGTTCAACTATTTCGTTCTGTTGAGATGTGTGGGGACAAGACACACGGTGAGCAATTCCATTTATTTGAAAATATTTGTGAAGTCTTTGATACTCCCCACCCCAATCAGATTGAACACTACGAATTTTTGCATTCAAGAGTCGCTCAACATGATTTTGAAGCACATAAAATACTTTTTCAACATCATATTTGTGTTTAATAAGATAAATACAAGTGTATCTACTAAAGTCATCCAGAAAACTAACATAATATTTAAATCCTCCACTTAACACTTGAGCAGGTCCCTAAACATCAGTTTGGACAAGCTCAAGAGGAGAAGACGTAACACGAACAAAACTATTATAAGAAAGTTGATGACTTTTTACACGTTTACATGCATCACAAACAGACGACTCACTATTAAAGGATTGACCAATTTATTAGAATTTAAAATTGTCTTGACATTTGTTGAAGTAGGGTGACCGAAACGTTGATGCCACTGCAATGTGGAGACCTTGACACTTGACAAAGCATGATGAGATTGACTACTGGAGCGACTAACAGGCACGGGATATAGAACTAATTTGCTTCTATAGAGTAGAAGTGTTTTCTTCGTGGCAATGTCCTTAACAAGAAAGCGTTAGGATAAAGCTCAATGAACAGATTATTATCATAAACAAGTCTTTGGGCAGATAAGAGATGTTTAATAATGTGAGGGATACATATAGTGTTTTTAAGAGTAAGAGGTCGACCTAAACCGAGAATTATAGAATGACCAATATATGAAATAGATAAACCTGCATCATTTGCAACTTGGACTTGGTCTTTTCCGTGGTAGCGATCTTGCACAGTGAGACGATCCAGATCACTAGTCGAGTGTTCAGTTGCTCCTGTATCGAGGTACCAACTAGTGTCGGGATTGTATCCTCCTGATGTCACACTTTCGCTACGATAGTCTTCAGATTGGCCTGGTATCCCACAAACTTGATAACGTGGTCCACTACCACTGTTTCGACCTCGACCGCGACGTCGTTCATGACCGCCTCTGCCACGGTAATTTCCTCGTTGGTGACTATAAGAGTTGTTGTAGCCATTATTATTGGTGTGGTTTCGGTGGGGGGCACTGTTGTTGTTTGATTCTTGGCGAGATACATTATTGGCAGAAGATGAAAATTCAACTGTACTTCCCACTGCAACAGCTTGGGCCTCATGAGCGATCATATAGGAATAAAATTCAGGGAGAGTGACCTTACGTTTGTTGCTGAGTACAGTAATTACGGTGAACAGATCATCGTGCCATGGTTCTAGACTGGCCAACATATAACCGATTACCTCTTCATCATTTATTGGTTGACCAATATTCGCCATTGTATCAGGGAAACCAATCATTTCTAGTAGTATTCGGTTGCACTCATGTCTCCCTTCTTCGTGGTTGAGAGTTGTGTCCAAATTTGAATTGAATTTCCTTTATGTTGTGCTGAGAACATTGTGTGGAGTGCTGTCCACAACTCTTTAGCAATGCCAATGTAGCTAATCGGAAGGACTTCTTCAGTCATGGAGGATAAAAGACCTCCAATCACGACTTGATCTTGAATTACCCAAGTTTCATAGTCTGGGTTGGGTGATTCTTTTGGAGGTTTTGTAGTTTCTTTTCCAGCAGCATCACTAGTTCCTATGGTTATCATGACAGGAGGTGGTGGTGTTGTGCCATCGAGATGGCCAAAAAGATGAACTCCTCGTAAGATAGGAGTAACCTGTGCCTTCCATAATAAAAAAAATGGTGCGTGTTAATTTCATGATATGGCAGTACCAATGGTGTATGATTTCACAGGTGCAAACATTACAGAAAGAGAGAAATACTCTGTGGAAGGAGACCAACAGAGTCGAATATGAGGTTAGGGTTTTGGAGTAGGCGGATCACGCTCTGATACCAAGTTGAAGAATCTAATTTGGTGTAATAACCCTTTGGGTTTCGATCTCAATATATATAGGAACAATTACAACTGTAAATCCTAAGATAAATGATCCTATCTATACAACAATAGATGTTTAATATTTGAAAATATTAGTCTATCGTTTCATATCCTGTTTACATATCCGATAACCGAGAATAGCCGGTGAAAAAGACCAAATATGAAAAAAGAATATGGATCGTGTTGACAAATAAAAAAAAGTACGCAGAAATGGACCGATGTGTGAACTTTTACTAAACATCAAGTTCAAGTTTTGCACTTGTTTTACATTGTGTTTGAAAACTTAAATTTTACAACGTTTTTAGGGCTGACCCTTGTTGAAGGCAAGGGACGAATTGCTCCGAGCCGTGCTTAACGTCACATGCTACATGGCCAGTTGTCCCCATGAAAAAGAAAAAGATTCAAAACTTTTTTCCTTTAAAAAGGTTGGTAAGATTCAAATATAAAACCAGGAGTTATTAGCCTATTAGGTGAGCCCGTTTCTATTTGTTTTTGAAAAGCCCACACTTCAACGGCGGATAACAGCCTGTCTTCGCCATCACCGGCGGAGTAAACCACCGCCACCATGAAAACCTCTCACCACCTCACAGTCCCACCGGGATTGACCAGCGAAGATTTCCTTGAGCTAAAGAGTGCCGTCACCGAATTCCACACCTACGATCTGTCATCCGCCCAATGTTCATCCCTTCTGGCGCAATACATCCACGCGCCGGTCGACGTCGTCTGGTCGGTGATACGACGGTTCGACAAGCCGCAAATCTACAAGCACTTTATCAAGAGCTGCACTATGGAAGAAGGATCTACAATGGTGGAGGGATGCACACGTGACGTCATCGTCATATCGGGATTGCCGGCGGCGACCAGCACGGAGCGGTTAGATTTGCTGGATGATGAGAGGCACGTTATGGCGTTTACGATCATCGGCGGCGAACATAGACTGAGAAATTATCGTGCTGTGACGACGTTGCACGAGATTAAGGCGGAGGGATCGCTGCCGTCGAAGACGATTGTTTTGGAGTCGTATGTGGTGGATGTGCCGGAGGGGAACACGGAGGAAGACACTCGGTTTTTTGCTGACACGGTGGTGAAGCTAAATCTGCAGAAGATGGCGTCTGTGACGGAGGCCATCGCTCGAGGCGGCGGCGACGCCGCCGCCGAGTCTCTTAGGTGACGCTACCTCTGCTTCGAAATACCCAATTAAAAAAGAAAAAAAAGAAAAAAAAGAGAGAGAATCCTGCATTTTACCCTTTGTTGATTATTTCAATGTTTTATATTTTTAATATTATATTGAATTTATGAAAGCACTCTTTGTGGGTTCAGCTGAAGTGACAGATCTTCATTGTCGATGCCTCATTGAGTAGGGTTGTTTGTGTACTGGATTTTGTTGAATTTACTATTTCGTATTTATTTTTATATTTTTTCTCTCACAATAAACGACGTTTTCCTTGATTTGTTTCTTCAATAAACGTTGTTTTAGTTTGAATGTTTATTTGAAATTATTGATTTTATTCGATTTTTTCTTTAATCACATAAAGTCAAGTCATAAAGTAGTTAAATCAGATGACATTAACGCAATTCAGTATTTTATTTATATTGTTTAATGGAAATGGAACATATCTATAATATTCCTTATGCCCAATACAGAAAGGGATCTAAAGTTATCCAAATGAAAATGTTTTTTATTTTATTTTTATTTATATATAATGAAATGCCATTATTGTAGTTAATAATACTATCGGAATTTGATTATTTCAACGCAAAAATCATGGGCAATGGTCCCCTTGAAATATTAAATTTGCACACTAAATGGACCTATCGGAACATACAATTATATGGTCCACACTCATAGACGACGGGTACCTGAATTTTTTATTTTATTAAAATACTAAAAATAATATTAACACAAAAAATAAGCATAAATGTATATTAACTAATTCAAAACTACAAATCTTACTGCATCAAACAAAAATAATTCTAACACGAAACAAAGAGTCATTATTTGGCATTAGCATGTATGTGTATATATTAAATTATTATTTTTTACAAGATTTACTCATTAAACTCTTTTTGATTGTTCCTGTAGACTTAGGTGTGTTGTTTGTTTTTTGTCTGCAGAACTTCTTGACATCTTCTGTCTGCGTCGCGCAGACATTAACATTCGCAGACTGTTTGTTTTTGGAAGACTGCAGACCTAAAAATGTCTGCATGCCCTCCTCTTGGCGCAGATGTGAACCATAGTCTTCTTAAATCTTCAGACATCTTCTAGCCTAAAAAAACACATATATCTTTATTATTATTATTATTATTATTATTTCAGTTTTTTCTAATTTATATTTATTCCAACTTTATTAATAATAAACAATTTGAAAAAAAAGTTACAATACTTGAAAAAAAAGTTCGAGGACACAAACATGATATTTTTGATAAATTTATAAATAAAGATTTATTACAATAATGGTCGTTGAGGTTTTTATATAAATATGAAAAAAAAATCATAATATATTCTTATATTCTTTGTGTCAAATTTTATAAAACATTATTTAATATAACATCGTCAATTTCTTGGAAAAATATTTATGGTACGATTTTAATTGATTTAATTGAAAAAAACCGAAGTTTATTTCCATCCATTTACCTATCAAAATCTTTGATTCCTAATTACAATGTTTAGGTATAACTTTACAATCAAAATTGGTGGTTTTTATCAAATATGTACGTTAATTCGTACCATTTTTATTTTTATTTTTTATATAATAATACATAAAAGTTGATCTAGTTTTGTTAATTATTTAGAACAAAGTCATAGAAATATTAAAAAATCACTTTGAAGTTTAAAAAAATCAGTTTATTTGGATTTTAGTTAATTTTAGTAGTATGTAGATGTTAAAAAAACAAACAGTCTTTTTTTTTCTCAGACTACAGACGTTTGGTCCATCTCTTCTATTGCAGAAGTCTACAGATGTGGTCCGCAGACTGCATACATTTTGCCTCAGAAAAAACAAACAACACCTTATATTCAATATATAAGCCATCTAACTCAAACTAAACAAGATTTCAGCAACATCATCTTCGTTCTCTACATCAAATTCAGAGGGACAAACCGAAATCCAATACAATTGTGGCTTACAGCTTACCCTCTTGAATAAAAAACATTTTGGATTAACGATAACCCTTGAAGAAGGTCTATGGTGTATCCTAACTCGATGGTAAGTGGTTTTATCTTCGATGTTGGGTTATCCTTTCGAACCAAACTTCCTTAAGAAACCTTTTGTTTTTGTTTTAAAAGAATCAAAAGATATATATATATATATATATATATATATATATATATATATATATATATATATATATATATATATATATATATAGGGTTGAGATCCGTTGAGAACTCATAGTTTCCCGAGAACCCGAGAACTAAAGGTGGAGCGTTGGATCAAGATTAACTCATTAAGGGCATGATCGTCATCATACCAATCCCATGTATTTTTTTGTATTATTGGAAATATTAATAAAAAGCTCTCAAATTAACATTATAAAACAAATTTTCAGATTTTTTTTTATAAAAAAATAATTTTTGTTTTTTTTTTTAAATTGCAGATTTTTTTACTTTTTTAGAAAGCATAAAATTTAAAAAAAAAAAGTTAAAAATATATTTTAAAAAAAAAAAACTGCATTTAAAAAAAAAACAGGAAATTTTTAAAACATAGTAAATTAAAAAAAAAACTGGAATATTTTTTTTAAAAAAAAACTATAGCTTATTTAACCAAAAAAATCAATGTTTTAGGAGCATATCTACATATTTTTTCAAGTGCATGTATATATATTTCTTATACTATAATACTCGTAAATAAATCATAAAAAATCAATTTTTACTTACTAATCTATAAACACAATAGTACAAGTATTTTATTCAATACAAAATAAAATATAAAAAATAAAAAATGCTACAAAATTTCAAAGCGTTTTCACGTATTTGTGTCAAGATTTCTATATTTTCTTTAATTTATCACTTTTCACCTCTTCAATTTTTTCCCAATATTCTTCCAAATCTACAAGAAAATTAAAAAAAAAATTTGATTAATGCAAGAACATTCACAAAAAATATATGTCTAAATCATGTAAGATTCACATATGATTATTTCATGTAAGATTCACATGTGATTATATCTTTTAAGATTCACTTGTGATTTGCATTTGAATCACTTGTAATTCATATGTGATTCATTTGTGATTTACATGTGAATTACATGTTATTCATATGTGAATTACATGTGAATCATGTAATTCATATGTGATTCACTTGTGATTTACATGTGAATCACATGTGATTTACATGTGAATCTCATGTGATTTACATGTGAATCATGTAATTCGTATGTGATTCACTTGTGATTTACATGTGATTTATATGTGAATCTCATGTGATTTACATGTGAATCATGTAATTCATATGTGATTCACTTGTGACTTACATGTGAATCACATGAGATTTACATGTGAATCACATGTTATTTACATGTGAATCACTATAATAAACAACTTTTATATACAAAAATAAAATTACTTATATAATCTTCAATAATATTTTAATGTTTTTAAATAATTTCAAACTTCAATTAGATTCTTCTTTTTATTTTCCAAAAATAACAAAAATATTAGTTACACTAATTGAAATATATAAATGTAGTCATGTATCTTTATTTGATTAAAAGTTTAGTTTCAAAAATAACTTTTTTATGTTTTCTATTTACCTTCCTCATTCCATTCCTTTGTGATTCCATTCCATCATATATACCAAACACTAATAAGTAAATTTTATTAAAAAAAAAAAAATACCTTTGACGATCATAATCCCGAGCACGTTCACTTGAGCGTGATCTGGGTCATTCTCATTCTACTGTATGTAAAGACTAAATCATCTCATTCTATACAGATTAGAGATAACATTTGAATTGAAAACTGAATGAAAAGAAAAAATTACGAAAGATGAGAGATGTCTAAAGGGTGAATTGAGCGCATCCTGAGTTGTTCATTGTTGCATGTGTAATCATAGAAAGGAGAAAGTGCAAAGTAATCAAAGACAAGATTGCAGTCAAGTGGGTATGTGTTTGACCATAATTGATCCCTGAAGCATATTCCGGTCATGTCTGTCTCTGGTGGAAGCGGAGCTGCTGGAGCATTTCCATCTCCAGGTCCTAAGTTTGGTGGCAACATGGGTGTAGCCGTCATTTCAACTCCAAGCTTTATTAATGGACTTACACTCTACTCTACTGCAAGAAGAACATAAAGAATATCAACACATATATGATAATTATTAACTTGAAAACCATTACACCCTAGAGCAAGAGCTCCAGACATATATGTTCAGTAAGATCATTTCAAGGAGGTAAACAAACATGTGAGAGAAGATATGGCTATTAATCCTACCCCGATCAAACAGAACTACATATGGACAAAACATCAAACACCTTCTGGGCATTCCAGAAAAAAACAATTTGAATTCGTCACCAACAGGTCAACATCAGCAAATCCTGAGGAAAACGATGATAACCACCATATCAGTTACTCCAGTTGGATTCATCAGCAAGAATTTGAATTGTTTATGAAATGAGTTGAGGTGGATATAAGTGATTAATTAGATAGCCTTCACATCTCAATCTCACCCTCACCCTCGTATGGTAACCAAAACATACTAAATTAAAGCAGATGTTGGAATAACTGAGATTAAAATATAAAAGCAACATGAAACATTAGAATCTAACCGTACACCGATAATTAATCTCGACGATTACAAGGTCACAGGAGCTGATAAAAAATTTGATTTCAAATTTCAGGCATACAGGGACATCAGAGATAACTGTTTATGAGAAAACATCTCAGCGGAACCCTAGAACAACTTTCACCTTCATCTCCTTTCGATCTTCAACACATCAAGTGAAATTTGATATTGAATCCATAAGGCGACAGACTCATGACCGATGTCAGGCACTGGAAGGGCGGAGGCGATGGTAAATTAAGGATCAAGAGAATCAGGAGAGCAGATGAGATGGGTCCAGATATGGAAGTGGTGAGGAAACATCGTATAAGAACATCAACGATGAGGTGAGGCGACGATGTAAGGAGATCTCTCACCGCAGGCAACATCGGGGTCATCAATTCTATTGGAATTTG